AAAAAACCACGGGTAAACCATGAACCGCGCTCGGCCCATGGCCGCGCGGTTAATAAAAACACTACTAGACGAGGGCTAGTTGTTGGCTTTTCAACAATGTACAATAGGTTTCCTACAGCTCTCGAGCTTTCCAAGGTATTTCTCAGTACAAAATACAGCATTACTTTTACATATGGTTCTTACCTCGAAAAAGACTCAGAAACCATTGTATCCTCCGCGAAAGCGCTTTCGCATCTCTGTTTCATGCCACACGTGCTTGAGAAGTTGGGTTGCAGTAAGCTTACTTTGCACAACTGGAGATCTTGTTGCAGGTATTTGTGTTTGGTAGCAGCTCCTGATGTACGGACATATCCTACGCTGAATGTTGATGGATTTTGCAGCAACTTGTGAGGATAAAAGAAGATTTCTGCTAGATGAACTTCTTGCCACAACGCCCGCGAAGTGCAGTTCATCAGCTCATGAATATTTTTCAAGCCCTTTGCGACCACGCGAGTTGACCACGCACCGAATGTTTTTTTCTTTGCGACTATTTGATTGGATGGCGTTCTCAAGGCGGAAAAATTTTGGTGCTCTCAATATACCAAATGAGGTCCCAAATAGCTGTCCCAAATGGAAAGGTCCGGAATATTCACAATTTGCCCTTACTTCTTCCTCAGTACATTTCACTTATGAAAGGAATTCGAGAAAGAAATAAAAAACGGTAATTGTTATTCCTCTCGGTTGGCCCGATTTGATCGGAAAATATCGTTCCATTTCCTCAGCTGGTTGGATCGCCTCGCAAACTAATCGAGTTCGCCTCGAGGATAGACCCATAGATCTGATTCAGTTGCATATACTAGTAAACCGATGATTAATCCACCCGTCTCCAAACAATCACTACCCCTTCGCCGAGACTAACCAACAATACACTTATTTGGTTTTCACTTTAGAGACAGTGGTTTGTTGGTTGCTCTCCTCTATTCGCAAACGAATTCTGGCTTAGTTCAATCCGACTGGCGGGAGAAACGGAACCTGCCCCACAGACTCAGCAGACTCAAGAAAAACTGGCTAACCATCATTGTCACAGTTATTTTAAGTATCTTCCGCTCCACCTCCAGCCCTAGAGTTTTTTTTAGTTTATTTATATGATTGACTTTATGAAGGTTAGCAAAAGGGAAATATTAACATTGTTCTAATAAAAAAGGTCTTAAAAATCCACTTCCAAAACTTCAAGGAGTTTTCATTCATTTATTCCAAAAAACTCAATCGGAAATTCAGCAACGTTGGACCGTTGGTATACGCCACAATATGTCTGGAAGCTCAGCTGAGGGCTTCTTCTGCATCTTTATTCATTTCTTCTTCAAACAGCGCTAAAATGATTTTACATATGACAATCAAACTACCACCACAACATTATACACTGCACGAAGAAATTTATATCAGATCAGCGACTACATTAACAGAGTGGTTTTAACTCTGAGTCTCGATAATATTTTTTCTGCCGTTTTTTTTTTTTTCTTCTTCTTCTTTACCGCTGAAGAAGAGATTCAATGAATTGTCGCACAACGCACTAACTAACGTGATCCTTTTGTATCAACACAACAAAGGACTCAAATTTGACAGTTTCTTTTATACTTTACCATTCGTGCGAATCGTACCATATATACATTTCACGAAAAATAACTTGCACATCTAATCATTTATGTCAGTAGAGTGTAATGCGCTCTGTCAGTCTTTCTTAACAAAGAACCGAACAACAGTGTAACGCTGTTTTAATCTTGCGTACTGCAATTAATCCTGCGTCGAATGGCTTACACGCTAAGCCTTCTCGCTATTTTGACCGCAATATTGTACTTTTCCAGTCAGTCTCAAGTCACACTCGGAAAAAAAGTGACCCGAAAAAACCAACCAACCAAGCATGGCGACGTCTACCGCGCCAAAAGTCAGATTGATTCCCTGATTTACAAGTTAACTCTCGATTTAAACACTTTTAACGAGAAGAAAACGCTGGCCACTGTTATGCAAAAGGACGCCGAGAAGCTGGCTCGAATCACTGGAGAAGAGATCGCCTTGCTGAAACCGGTACAACATCTTTTGGATAAACTGATAAAGGGTAATGCTTCGAGCGGGTATCAATACTGTTTTAAAACCAAACAAGGAGGCAAAATACCAATGAGAATTGAGACAAAACGATCCTCTCTACCGAAACTTTACACCATAAGTGTTCCAGGTAAGAACTTTTGATCCATATGACATATTTCTGTCCTAGCAACTGCCGTTGAAATATCAAAGTGAAAATGGAATGCGTTGGTAGTCTTTATCAAGGAACTAACAGTAGTGCCATGAAGTTGCGATTTTTGTCAGCAGTTTTTTTCGTTGTTGTTGTTTTAATTCCACTACGTTTTGCCATCAGTCAGCTGAATTGAGATTTTCAATGCACTTTAATCATCAGTCATCATCAGCTCTCACTAGATGCAGTTTTTGCTTTTTTCAGCAAAGTTAAGTTATTTCAATTTTCAGGACGACTTAGTCATGTTTTCCAGTTACGAAAATCGCGACTCAACTGTAGATTATGTCACAGAGCCCAAGTTATGGCCAGTTAAACCAATGCACTACATTTTAGTCGAAACGTGTTCTGATAGAAACAAATTAAAAATTCTCTACTTAAGAAAAGCCACAGATATTTCTTTTAATTTTCATTTCCCTAGTTAACCATCGCGAACTGATAGATCATGGATTAACACGTGACAATGGAGATGACTTGCAAGTATATTATTATGCCAACGGGCAGCACCCCGCTCAAATCGACCGCATCCTCAGTGGCCTGGGAACAAAGTCAGCTTCTGTCCAGTTCAGACTGCAGGCTCCCATGTCAGCCAACACTGTTGATGACTCCTCTTACTTTCTAGTGTTTGGCGGTGCGGTCAGCGGAAGCGCCATGGATAACCCTGACCATGTGTACGTCTTTCACGACGATTTCTCGAGCTCTGTCCTGAAGAAAGAATGGGCGACAAACAATTACGCAAATGGAGCGTGCAAAATGGACGACTGCTTGGAGACACTATGCGAGAAAACATTAGAAATTATGTAGAAGTCGGACTGTATGTTAAGTCAGGATTTCAGTGGAAAGATTATGAGGTAGAGTTTGACATGATGGAGACTGGGGCCAAGAACAGTGCTCCCGGGCCGTTACTTCGCGTAAACAATGTGGACCACAGCAAAACCACGGCTTGGTGGTTTGAATATGTCGCATCGAACAGCGATCTTTGTACCATGAGACCCCAGGTCAACAACAAAGATGGCGGATGGAAATACAATAGCAAGTTACCCACAGCCTTCACTATCAATACTTGGTTTCATTTCAAGTATCAAGTGCTCGGCGACAGGTTTTCCCAATGGGCGAATGATAAACAGGTGCACAATAATGTACAGGTGGACAGCGAATGGAAAATACCTGCTGGAACCTTAGGCTTAGGCTGCCATAAGTCTCCCAATAACTGCAAAACTCTTTACGACAACATCAAAGTGAGACTCCTAGTTGCCAGTCCTCCAAACATAACTCTTGGCATCTCTCGACCAGGCCACCTCAGCCAAAGTAGTCTTTTGGGTGAAAAGAAACTTCCCGCTGATTCGTGCAAACAAATCCATGATGCAAGTCTGGTGAACAACAAACCACGCGCCAAAAATGGCATCTACTGGATCAAGACTGACTTGCAAGGAAGTTCATCAGTGCAGACGTACTGTGACATGGCAAATGGTGGCTGGACTCTTGTGGGAAAAATCAGCGGAAAAGTTGGCAATATTTACAAGACATGACTGGTCTCCAACTACAACACTGCTGCGCTGAAAACACCGAAGATCACGAAACAGAAAGAGTACGCCTGTATTGACTCGCGCAGATTGGCGGTGGAGGAAGCGTCCTCGATTCTGTTGTCCAGCGGTGAGCGGATGGATGGCTTGGGGAGCAAGTGGGTGATGTGGAGGCTGCCTGGAGACAGAGAAAAGAACTTGCAATGGAATCACTCTGTTGGGC